TGTTTAGCTGAATTATGGGCTATATATATCATGGCCTTCATTTAGCTTGGGGGAAAGGCTACTGCAAAATTTAAGGTTGCTCTAACTTTCATAATGCAATTATGTTGATAACTAAAGGTTGTTGTCACATCCATGAAAGAAATTCATAGTGATAACTCAAATAATGAACAATATAAGAAATAATATTATAGTATGTTTGAGTAAGATTTAGAAATAATTGCGTACCCGGAATCAATAAAAGATCCATTCTTGTCAGTCTTGAACAACGTGAGAGAAGACTGCTCTCTTCCTGGTAGGAGATGAAAAGGTAGAAGACAAAATGTATTTGATCATATAAACTGACTAATGGGGTATCAGTTCTATATCCATACCAGTAGAGACTAGGGACCTCTCAACGGGCTACTAAACAGTCCAACCCATCATGGACCATTCATCAGAAGCCCAATATGCATTACCCATAAATTAATAATAATGTGCAATATAATTGATATTAACATATAAATATAATTTATTAATTAATGTTAATCCATAATAATAATAATAAAATAGAGAATAATTATATAAATAAATATATAAATATAACATTCTCCCACTTGGATAACATTAATCAATAAATTAAATATATCAATTATAACACAAGTACATATATCAATTAACAATATAAGAAATATAAACATGAACCACAAAGATAGTTTCCGATAGGGATACATACCTTATGCTTATATTTCATAAATAATGGATAATGAGAAACATAATAAAATATGTGATCCCAAAAATGGTCCAAGCAATTTTATATGCTAAAAGAGATGTAATGAAAATGACATTATTGATAAATTTACATCTCATGAAAACCATAACAGTAAAAAATGTAAATTTTCAGACTCCCACTAACCCAATACATCAAAAAAACTTAACCACACCCATATGAGTTACATGTTTTTGAAAAACTCCAATAGCTAAGTCTTTAGTCAGTGGATCTGCTAACATATTTTTTTTGTACCAATATGCTCAATTCGAGTATGAAAATCAAAAGCCTTCTCTCTTACAAATAGAAATTTTATATCAAAATGCTTTGAGCGAGTAGAACTTCTATTGTTTTGAGAGAAATGTACAGAGTATTGTCGCAATATATCACAAGTGGCCTAGAAATACTTTCAACAATATGAAAGCCATAAATCAAATTTTTAAGCCACACAGCTTGACAGGTAGTCTCATAACAAGCGACATACTTTGTCTCAATGGTAGAAGTAGCTATAAGAGTCTGTTTAACACTCTTCCAAGAAATAGCTTCTCCTACCATCATAAAAACAAAGCCGGAAGTAGATTTTTGGTCGATAGGGAAACCAACAAAATCAGAATCAGTATAACTAATGACCTAAAGTTGATCAGACTTCTTATAGGTCAACATATGATGCTTGGTTCCCTGCAGATACCTAAAGACCTTTTTAACGACTTTCCAATGACCCAAACCCGGGTCGCTCAAGTATTTCCCTAAAGCATTAACAACAAAAATATTATCGGGACAAATACAAACGTGAGCATACATCAAACTACTAACAGCGGAAGCATGAGGAACCTTTTTCCATTTCAACTCTATCATTATCATTTTGAGGACATTGAGATTTAGAGAGTTTGTCATTTTTTTTTGAACAGGTGCAGCACGTGAGAAAAAAAAATTTCATGTTAAACTATTTGATGACTTTATCAATATACCCTCTCTGAGACAATCCAAGAATGCCACGTGACCTATCATGGAAAATCTAAATGCCTAATAACAACAGAGACATCACCAAGGTCCTTCATATAAAAGTGGCTATTTAACATAAATTTTGTCTCAGTCAAAAGTTTAACACTACTACTATCAAGAAGAATATCATCAATATAAAAGACAAGAATGATGAAATGATTCTCACTAGTCTTCAATTAAATGCACTAATATGAGGCATTTTCCTTGAAGTCAAAACAAGTGAACACCTGATCAAATTTCAAATACCATTATATTTGGTCTTCTCAAGAAGAGACAAATACTAACCCTTTTGAATTTTGTCAAAAGTCTTAAATTTCTCACCAACTAATCTCAAAAAATCCTTAGCCTTATCATTTTCTAGAATGTTCTGTCGAATAGACTTCTCCATGGTGTATTTCATCACCATCAGACACACCCTATTTGAGTGTTCCCATTTCTCATGAGAAGTTCTTTAGACAATAGTGGACTTAAGAGTAAGAGTTAGAGGCTCTTTCTCTCTTAAGAAAAAGTCCATATTAGTAATTGTCATATATAAGTCCAGAGATTCATTTTGGTCCTCAAAATTTGTCCCATTCAATATTTTGACCAAAGTCAATTGCATAAGCAAAGAAGCTGGTATCCAAACAACAAAGAAACATTTAATATACATAGTTATTATGCAATAAAAAAATTAAATGTTTCTGAATACACAGTCAAACATGCCTATAATATAAAAAATTCTCATTCATTATGATCCTGCCTAAGGGTCCCGAACCATAATAAATAAGAAATACAAAATAAGAAATACAAAATACAACGCATAACTTATGTCAGAAAAAAAAAACTAATACCGATAAGGTACTTGACAAATAATTGCCATAAGATAAAATTTAAAAAAAATATATTGTATCATAATACCAAAATACATTAACAACAAAATACCGATAGGGCACAATTATTGTTAATGTAATATAAAATTAATTAGAGAAATAATTAAATTATTTCATTCACATAAATTTCATATAATTGTACCCACGATAGGTGAGCTCACAATCATATAAAATTATATTACTCATGCTTAACAAAATATAATAAAATTATATTATGCATGATCAACATATGAAATAAATACAAAACAAACAACTATTAATACAATTAAGGGTCAAATTTTTTTTATAACTCAAGTATATATATATGCTACCAGGGAGAGTACAACATACTAACATGTCACTGAGATAACAATAAACATATATATAAAAAAATTTCATACCCAAATCCCAAGAGTACAATATTTAAAATTAAGATAAAATTAAGTTTTATTCTTGGAATAATTAAAAAAAATAGTTATAGGTAAAAAATATACCCAATATCATAAAATTAATTATTTAAATTTAAAATAAAAATATAATTTTTTTTGATCAAAATAGGGTCTCACGTGCCTGGCTCTACGAGTGAATAGGCACGAACGGATAGGCACGCGCGTTATTTTTCATCTTCTCCCTCACTTGGTAAATAGAAAATGGGTCGTTCGACCCATAACAAAAATTCAGCGCAAAACCACCATTACAGGCAATGACAAACTATGATTTTTTTGACCAATTGATTGTCCCTTCACGGCAATCCAAAACCCCTTATCAATTTTGGGAATAATCGATTCAAAGAAAATAATTTCAAATCTAAGAAATTGGGGTTTTGAAGATATTTGCGACAAATAAAGAGACAAAAAATTTGTCAGATGTTTCAATCAATTCTTTCTCAAAATGTGCAGATTTATTCAACATCCAGAGGTAAATAAAAGTCCCCAATCAATTGCAATGAATAATCATTGAAAAAAGAGAAAAAACAAATCGAAATTGCTCACTGAATAGAACAAGCTCAGAAAAAATTGCACAAGGTTTGAAATTCATGTAGAAAGAAAACCCCTTTGACAATTTGTTCAATTGATGAATATAATCTGAGTTGTCATTTTTCGAACGAAGAAGAAAAAAATTTATATTATTCGAAATCAAAATTGAACCTGATAAATGACATTTGCAATACCCGTACAATATTTAAATATTAAGATAAATATCCAATAAAAATTCCTAATTTTTTTTCATATATAATTTGTGAATAATTTATACATAGAATACTGATTCTATAACCTAGAACAACCATAATTTGTATCTTAATGGCTCTGATACCAATTGAAAGAAATTCATAGTGATAACTCAAATAATGAACAATATAAGATACAATATTATAGTATGTTTGAGTAAGGTTTAGAAATAATTGCCTACCCAGAATCAATAAAAGATCCATTCTTGTCAGTCTTGAACAACGTGAGAGAAGACTGCTCTCTTCCTGGTAGGAGATGAAAAGGTAGAAGACAAAATGTATTTGATCATATAAACTGACTAATGGGGGTATCGGTTCTATATCCATACCAGTAGAGACCAGGGACCTCTCAACGGGCTACTAAACAGTCCAACCCATCATGGACCATTCATCAGAAGCCCAATATGCATTACCCATAAATTAATAATAATGTACAATATAATTGATATTAACATATAAATATAATTTATTAATTAATGTTAATCCATAATAATAATAATAAAATAGAGAATAATTATATAAATAAATATATAAATATAACAATCCATTCTTGTGTCAATGTGATAACAACGATCCAAGGGTTCCAATGATAGAAATGATAAATGAAACACACAGTATGATTTATCAGGGATAAAAAACAAGTGTGTCTTTTTTTTTTTTTAATTCAAAGAGTCAATTTGGGTTTTAGGGTTGCTCTAACCTTCATATTGCAATTATGTTGATAACTAAAGGTTGTTGTCACATCCATTCTTGTGTCAATGTGGTAACAACGATCCAAGGGATCCAATGATAGAAATGATAAATGAAACACAATATGATTTATTAGGGATAAAAAACAAGTGTGTCTTTTATTGTTTTTTATTCAAAGAGTCAATTTGGGTTTTTACTCATTAATCAATTAACTTATCTTATAAAAAATAGTTTAAGTTTATTAAACAATTTTAAAAATACAACCATTTTTGAAATAGTTTAGATTGGTCATAAATTGATTCTTTTGTAAAGTCTTTTTGTACAACATTTTTAAATATAGATTATAAATTTAATTTTAAAAAAGTAACTTATAGAAAGAAAAAAAAGGGTGACAGAAATAGCGCAAGGAAGGAAGAGAAAAATACAATGGATGTAGATAAAGTGAGAATCATTAACTTATATGCATTTACAAATTTCAATGCTTAACCACTGTTATTTGGAAGCTCAAGTCATATGTTTTGATATGATCCTTTTTTGTTGCTCCAACCATAGTTGTTTTTGTTGCAATAAAGCATCCTCTTGCATTGACAAATGTAATGTCTGTTCATCAATATTTTCACTAGGCCATGGTCCAAAGGGATCATCCTCTTCAGGTGTTTCCAATGTTGTCCTGTTTTCATCCTTTGTGCTAAAAGTTGGTGGCATTGTTGAAGCATACCAATTTTGTTCTTGGAAGTGTATGGGAACAATACTCAAGTTAGGATTCTGGAGAGCATTGAGATTTGATGCTTCTATTGTGGCATCAAAATTTGACTTAATCATTTGAAATGTGGGAGTTGAATCATTCTTTGAAGAACATTGAGCCTTAAAACTTGGTGCGTTAATAATGTTATCCAAAGATTTAGTATTAAAAGTTGGTGTAACTGTCATGTTGGTCTCTATAGATGAACCTTGTGCACCGAAAGTCGGTCTTGTTATTATCTTATTTGGATGCATGTCATCAAAAAATAGATCTATATTTGCTATGGAACTAGAACTTTGATCTATCAAGGTTGATACCATTGGATCTTGAGCATAAAAGGTTTGTGTTGTTGCCATAAATGTTGGTTCCTCATCAAAAACATTAATAAAACTATCACTAGTTGTGGGAATAGGAGCATAAGTTTCTATATCATCCAAGAATGGATTGTACTTTTGTTGGGGAATTGAAGCTTGATCAAATAATGTGACAAATGGGTCAAATCCATTTGCCAATTCGGGTGATGTTTCATTGGGTGCAACTATTGTCTTTGCCAAAACTAACTCCCAACAATCTTTAGAGCTATTAGTGGAGCCCGATTTTGTGTTTTGTTGTTTCCGCTCATTTATTTGGTTTTCTTGCACTTCCTGCTGCAATTCATTAAAACTTACCACGTCTAAACTCAACCTTGAAGATTGATCAATTGGAAACGATTTGGTTGAACCATAACCATTCACATTAACATAATCATTATATTGTGTTTTTGCATCATCTTTATTTGATTGATCTAAATACATGTCTTTCTCAATTGATCTTTGAGGACTCATAGCGGCATCAGTAGCACTCATGAGATCTTCCAATGATGTGCATCGTGAGCCAAATTCAGATCCTTTTTCAAAAGATCTTTCATGTGTCAAATGTCTTTCAATAGCTTCATGTTGGGATGAACTTGAACCTACAGGGTCTTTTAATGGAGGAAAAATGAATTGTTTTGAACCATTATTTTTGGAAAAATAATCGTGGTCCTTTAAGAATTCTTGTAATGTTTCCATAAGCTCCTCAGAAACCTTTTTTACTCTTGGGTACTCATAGGACCTACCAACCCCAATGCTTGTACAAAAAGAATAAAAATCAGACAACTCATCAAATTGCTTATAGGATTTAACACAAGCATTGAATATCGAAGCACACGCTAAAAATGGTAAATGGAAAAATCTATCTAAGACAACAACAAGCCCATCATAGATATCCTTATATAAATCAAAACTTTCTTGCACAATAGCATAGAGAGAAATTTGAACCAAACGATCGGTCTTGGCTAACCCTACAGGCCATGTGCCTATAGCTCTATCCAACAATCTTTGCCAATGTGCAATTTTATCAAGCACCATCATAGGTTTCATGTCTTTGATACCAGGCTCATTGGATAACTTGTTCTTTTGGTTCTTCTTATGAAAACGATTGTGGTATGTGAATCGTCGTTGGAGCTTTCCGGTTAGGAAGCAATCTAAGCGCTCATCAAGGTACAAAGAAAATGTTCTAATGAATGTAGTGTAATCCCAAGGGCTAGAATTGGAGTCATCCTTGAAACTCGAAAGGTTGAGGATTTTGGCACCCCTTTTCATTGCATGGAAAACTTCCCTAGGAAAATATGGATCACCATCTTGAAATATTCTTAGGACAATCATGAGAGATTTGAGAGCAACAACCCAATTGCGGGTCTTACCGATTCGTTTGCTTATGCAATGAGCACATGTAGTTGCATAAACTTTGTTAGAGGAGACTATATTCAAAATTTCATTCATATAACGCTCTTCAATGGGATTTTTGTCATGGGTTGTCGCTTTTAGGATGGTGACTTCAAGATTGGCTGCATTGGTTACCTTAGCAAGGCTAATGCTTGTTTGGTCCTTTACTGCTCCAATAGCCTTCCTTAGCTTGCTTGGCATGGTGAATCAAATTGTATGAGAATTTTGTATCCTTGTTTGTTTGTGTCTCCTATGAATATTCTAACATTATTAAACATTTGATATTTTTTGTTGATTTGTTTCCAAGAGAAGTTGCTTGGAAGGAAAATGATAGCATTTTTCAAACATTTTTTTTGTGAGACATTGACAAAAGAGTATGAATGCTCAATTTGTCCTCCTTTTAGTTTGTTAATTTTGATGGTGGAGAGGAAAGGTGGGAAAGGAAACATAGGCATGCCGAGTATATCGCTTTATCTTAGTTGGCCGATTTATGATTTTGAATTAGTAATTTAACTTCATTGTATCTGATTAACATTTTCTCTCTCTTTCTCTATGATATTCTTAAGTGAATCATAAAGATTGAACTATTCAGTTTGCTTCTAAACTATTTGAATATTTGCAAGTATATTTCAAATTAATTTTTTTGAATGGGATTTCTAAATTGAAAAGTCTTTCATGAAGTTACAATTTATCAACATAAAACATCTGAAAAATAACAACTAAATTAAAAAACAATACAAGATCAATATCTAATTAAGAACTTGTTACTTTAATGTCGTACTTGATAATTTTCAAATAGTTTAGAAACTAATCAACTAATTTAACCTTAAATAAATACTCTTTTATTTTTTTTTATGTGAATATATTCTTTAATTTTCAAAGGTACATCTAACATTATTTTAGTTTATTAAATAAAGTTAATAAGTTATATCTCAACTTATGAAAAATCATACAACTTTTTTTTTGTTTTGTTTTTTTTTTGTTTTTTGTTATCATTTTAAGAAATTGAAATTATTTTATGAATTTAATTAGAATACATTGACAATATTGTTTCATTGGTGAGTAACACTAAAATCAAATTTTGAGATTTTGTTTTTCAATGAAAAAGATATATGTTGAGCCTTATTACTTAATTAGTTAAAATTAATAGTAAATAACTTTTAGTTGGTAGGCGTAAACTTTTAGTTTTACTATCTTATTCTTGAATCAGTCTAGAAAATATGTTATTATAATTACATATCGTTATATGTGATCATTTTTCTAACTTTTATGATAATTACATTACAAATCACACATAAGATAATTTATGATTAATTAATATTTCAAAAAATTTTACACCTACAATTCATGATAATAAAATTCTTATTTTACACCTTCAATTATAAAAATTTATCTAAATTTAGTTTCTTAATATCACATTTTAAAAAAAAAAAATTTAATGATCAATGAAGTTAAATGATATCGATTTTTTTGAAAGATCCACAAAAATGATTATTCGATCTATATTATCTTTTATCGAAATGATACTTATTTTGAAGTAATAAATATAGATATATTTTTTTATTTACAATAAATACATGTTTTCATTTAGATGGAAAAGTATGTCACAGAGTACATACACACATTTAAGAGTGATATATTATGAGAATCAACTTCTTATGTGATAATGAGAATGATAATGAGAATGAGAATGATCAACTTAAATTAAAATAAGTGACTTATATTAAAATATGCATTTAAAACTACAAACAACATTGTCATCACCGAATGTACCTTACACGAGAAAGTAAAGAAAAAATTAGGAAGCCTTTGGCAAACAAAAAATTGTGAAGGCATGCCTATTTATAGAGGCCAAGCTCCCAAAGGCTCAACCTCACTACCATTCCTATCGTTGGATGTCTTTTGATAAATAATTGTGTTTTTTTTGTCCTTTCACATTCCTTAGAAATGCCCCACCATTAAGATAGAAGTTGAATAAATGTTTGCTAGCTGTAACATGAAGCAATTACTCACAAAGACATGTCTATTTATACAGGTGAAGTCCACATAGGCCCAATCTCATTACTCTTCCTAATTGTTTGATCTTTTTAGATAAGTAGTTGCAATAGGTCATCCTTTCGCATCCCAAATAAAATGTCCCACAATTATGTCATAAGATGAGCAGATGTTTGCTAACTCCGACGTGAGTCACAATAAATCTTAAACATAAAACCCCTTTACCATTCCCCTTAATGCTTAGGAGTAAGTATACTGAACAAGATAACTAATCACTTGATATCAAACATCCTTAGAAGTTGACACACAAATAAAAAGAACAAATAGGCTAAATATTGAATAACCCAAACCATGTAATCGACCTCCAAATAAGTCGAATAACCCAAACCACATATCTGTTTTCCCAATTGTTTGAATACTCCTAAGTCACTTATCCAACCTCCCAATAGGCAAATACCCCAAGCCACATATTTGGCTTCTCAATAGGTTGAAAATCGCAAAGTATTTGACCTACCAAAGGTCAAAAATCCCAAGCTATATGGCCTCCTAACAGGTTGAATACCATAAACTACATATATAACCTCCTAGTTGGTTGAAAGTCCAAAACCACATATCTAGCCTATAAATAGGTTGAATACCCCAAATCATGTATCCAACATCCTAATAGGCTAAATACCTAAAGAGACTTATCCAACCTCCCAATAGGCCAAATACTCTGAACTACATATTTAGCCTCCAATGAGGAAGAACACCCAAAACACATATCAAACTTCCAATAGGTCAAGTGCCCCCAAGTCACGTATCTAGCATCTTGATAAGTTAAAAAACCCAAGTCACACATTTAGCCTATAAGTTGAATACCCAAAACCATGTATTCAAATTCCCAAAATGCCAAATACCCTTAAAAGTTGTATCCAACTTCCCAGTAGTTTTGAAACTCCAAATAACTCCAAATCACATATCTAGTGATGGAGGCCCATGGGCCAAGGGCCCAATTACTAGGGCTATGGTTTGAAAGCTAGAAGAGAATTGGGCTAACACCAAGGAAAAGCCCATGACACTTTTTAGTTGGGTTGTGCATTAAAGCCCATGTAGACTAGGGTTGGCCCACTTGGGCTTGTATTTTATTTGTGGGCCTTGTATTTTGGCCAAGTAGAATAGGTTGGTTTCTAGGCCTTGTATTTCAGCCACTTTAGTTAATAATTTCATGTGAGTTTATATTTAATGAAATTTGAGGCACATTTAAGGTGTTATTTAAGTCATGTGACCAGTCATGTGGATGGTGCACATGGTGTGACTCAAATTCACCTTAAATGTGAACCAAATCACTTTAGAATGCAAACATCACATGTGCCACATGGAGATGCCGAGAATCTAGGAGTGGGAATTCAAATTTGAACTTTCAAATTTGAATTTATTAGGCGCTTAGAGTTAAAATTAACCATACCATGGTTAATTTCTCTCGGCCAACCCAGCTTCCTTGGGACTCTTCCGTGGCTTATATATAGACAAGGACCTTGTGTATTTCTCACTTTTGAGCATTATATAGACTAGGACCTTGTTTGGTTTTAATTTCTCGGTCATACGCAATGTATTTGCGTCTTTGAATATTTTTAATCTACTCAAGTATTGTCTAGAGTCATGTTTAGTCATTGATTTGTTTAAAACTCCTAGCTATGCTTGTTGTATCGAAAATTTGCACGATGAATCTCATATATGTTTTGTTTTGATCGAGTGCAATTGAACTTTGGTGCTTTTGATTTGTGCAATTTTGTGTTCATGAACTACTATTAGATTATTAGTAGTTTTTCTTAGAGTTAGGTTTCTCTTATGTCTTAGAGTTTCTTGAATTTTCTTTGGAATTTGGAACTTATAATTAATTCATGCATGAGGTGCTGGAAAACTTATCTTCAAATTTGAAATTCAAATATGAATAAAAAAATCAAAACAAGAACTGTGCCAATAATTTGAACTTGAGAAACATGAAAAGCATGATTGCCTTATGTTACATTTTAGGTATACATTTCAAATTTCAATTACAAAATCTTTTTTGCATTTGGCACACCTATATTTTTAGCAAGCCGAGAGTTAATATGAAATTGATAACGGGAAAAGGAAACTCCTAGTGATGTGTAATTGATAAAAAAAAGAAGAGAAAAAAGAAACAAAACCAATGTACATTTTAAAAAAATCATACAAGAAAAAGCCAAATGAAATGAAAATTATATGACTCTAAGATTTGGCCGAATTTGTTTTGCTAGAAAATTTGGAAGAACGTCATATTGCACACTTCACTTTATTTTGGTTTTGGTAATCTAATCTAGAGTTTTTCTTAGGATATTCTTTTGTGTGCTAGCCTTAGGAGTCAATTTGTCTAGATATTCTTTTTGTTGAATTTGCACTAACCATCTTCTTTAGAAACCAATGCTACAAGGTTCATCAAAAGGAAGCTAAAGAAACATTGTGGTGTATCCAATCTTTTGGTGAATTTCGGTTTATCCTATACAAAAAGAGTTCAAACACTTGAGCGGAGGAAAGCAAACAACTAGAACAGTCACGGCTTCTCAAAAGAAAAGTTGGAAAAATTTTGTTGAAAAATTGAAAATAGGGGATTAGTGACGGAAAAAAATTCCTTACTAACAAAATCTGTTTCAAAATCTGTCGCTAAAAAAGTCACTAATTTGGTGGCTAATTGTTTTTGAATTTTATAGCCACCTTGTGTAACATCCCGAATTTTCTACTAGCATAATGGTTATTTATTATTTATTTTATATCTGTGAAGATTATTTTCTTATAGTTATTTTAATGAGTTTTATAGAATATTTTAAAGATTTTTAATAATTATGAATATTTTAATAATAAATATTTACGAAAAATTATTTTGGAATATTCTGATTTTTAGTAGTCCAGAACGGGCCGTTCTAAAAATGGAACGGGCCGTTCCAAATTACTAAAATGACCTATAAAGACTAGGTTGGAACAGGTTGTTCCAACACATGATTTTAAGAGTAAAACTCAAACCCAGAACGGGTCGTTCCTATTTGGAAATAGGTCGTTCCAATCTTGGCAATTGTGGGTAAAATGTAAACTCAGACGGGCTGTTCTAGTTTTGGAACAAGTCGTTCGGGATATGAAATTTATGCATGATAAATGATTCCAGAACGGGCCGTTTTAGATTTAAAACGGGCCGTTCTGGCCACATTTGATGCCTATAAATAGAACGTTCTGGCACTCCAAAAGCACATTTTTTACTTTTCACCTCTTTTCTTCTACACTCTCTGAAGACCAAGGGGAACCCAGAGGAGGAGACCAACAAGATCTAGCTTTAGTTTCAGCTCC